TTTTTTTTTTTTTTTGCCTGTGCTCGTAACATTTTTTGTTAAAACAAGGCAAATTTTAGTTTTTAGTGCTCTCTCTGTATAGGTATGATGTTTCTGACCCACTGGTAGTGTGGTCAACTGTGGTAAATGGCAGCAAGATATTTACCTAGTGAAAAATGTTCACACCAATTGTTTTGGCCCTCTTCCTGGCCAGATAATTGAGCTGGTATTTTCTGATAGTGATGTTGAATTCTTAGGAAAAATGTGTCTGAAGTTTCTTATTTTGAAATTATAAAAGCCTAATGCGCAACGGAATGTTGAATTTTGTAGTGCTGCCATGTAGGAATGAAGCCAATTTCTTTTAGGAATACAAAACATACAGTGAAAATTTCATGAAACGTTTTGAACTGGTTCACCTGCCCGAGTATTTAATAATTACGTACAAACGATTCCATAAAAATCAGTGGTTCGTGGAGAAAAACCCGACAATTGTCAATTTTCCGATTAGGTAAGTGAATTTGCTGTCAGCGATTTTTTGCACATGTATTTCGCACCAAATTGCCCAAATCTGTCAGCGTTAAGTCGCATTGTCCAGGTTGAAATCATTAACTATAGCCGCACCCACCACCCCTCAACCACTGTCACCATTTATCGTCTCGAACTCCTGACTAGCACCTTCGTTCCCCAAGCCTTGCGGAAAATGTGGCGAAACTTCTTACGGTTCTTCCTACCTTTTCGAATCTTGTCAGAGAGCTGAACTGAATGGCAGTCATTGGGTGATATAGCACTGTTTTTGGGATGCAAACCAAAAAAGAGTTAGCAAAACTTCGTCAGCAAGAATCCTTCCCCTACTTGTCACTTTTGTGAGCGGTCTTTCTGGACTGTATTCTGGATTGTGTATTTTCGCCCAGAGGTATTTGCTGTGTGAAAGCCGCCGGTGCTGTATATTTGGTCGTACTGACCGTTGTTCCATTTCCTGCTCCCAGCATTTCTCAGCTAAAACTTACTCGTCTCGCAGTTTTTATTGTCAAAACGTTTTTCAGTGGAAGTCTATGACCCTTATCTCATGAATGAGAAATAGTCATTTCTGTTTTCTTGTAATTTATATTTTCTTTACTCCGATATAGGCCCTGCATTAAGTTAGAATTGGATTCCGGTTCAGTGCCACTAAAACCGTGCGTTTGTTTCCCCGAAGAATGATTTTTTTTTTTCGTTTAGCAATGTTGATTTGTATGATTGTTTGGCCGAGGAATCGCGTCCACTGCATAAGTATACAACGTACGACCTCATTTCAAACATCGTTCATGATGGCCCACCGTCATCCGGTTCTTATCGCATTCAGATTCTTCACAATGTAAGTTTTTCTCTGCACTGGCATCCGGTGAAGTTTTGCAACTAACACAATTCCCCACAGCGATGTTCCTAATTTATGCACTCAGGAAATTTGGCCTCAGCGATTTGTAGCACTGGCATTGGCTTAGTCAGAGCTGAAAGATGGAGAGGTTTTTTTTTTCAATCGTCTAATCGAGAGGATTCTGCGCTTCGCCTATCCACTCCTGGTTGGTCAGTAAGCTCTTAGAGCTTGGCTGACTTATGCAGAGAAAGCTGATTGGTAATTCTGTGGACTTGGGTTGCTCCATTTTCCAAGTGTTTAAGACTAGCTTTCAGCGCCGGATGGAAAATTGCTAAAAATCTCAAGATACACTGTGCTGTATTCTTGCCAGGTGGTCGTTTTCGCGCTGAAAAAGGGCAGGATCTCTGGCAGTACTCCAGGCGTCAATTAAGATTTAGTCGCTTATATTTTTTCTTAACGTTTGGTACTATCTAAATTCGTTTCGCATATTCTTTCGGAACCACCTGTTGTCGGTACGGTTTGCTTATTCTGATCGTCATTATTGTTAGCCTATCATCTCTATCGTTCGTGGCCAACGCATGCCGGCGCAACTCTTCCCAGCTTCCCCGGACGCCGTCTCGATTTATGGATTTTTATAGCGAAATAGCTCTTCGATAATATGAAGGAAGAGCTATTCTTTGACGACCTACAAAGACCTGGTGTATTTGTTTGTGGATGTTTGCTTTACGTGATTAAGAACTGGTTAAAAGTACGCCAGAAGTGGTGCACATGGCTAACTGGCTAACTTCGGTGGGTCATTGTACAGTTGCTTCTCCCAATGATGTCCATCGGGGGCTTGGATGCTTTCCATGTATGAAAAAAGGGCGAAAAGCTAACGTAAATTGCAGGGGACACAAAAATGGTATGAATTGGAAGATTTGCATGTCAAGGAAATATTGCCACAAATGATAACACTTGCTGAATCCTACATACAAGTAAGTGTTTTTTTGTTTTTGTGAATTTGCATTTTTCAGCATTGGATTTTTTGTTTTCACACATTCAGCTTGTGCAAAATTTGAGCATTATCTTCCGGCTTGCAATTTTGCATAGATTTGCATTTTATAGATTTGGCGTTTAAATGTCACAAAAACTCGTGACCAAAGAGCAGGAGAAGTGGATGAAGACACTACTACTGGCATCCCAGCTGCTGCTTCTGGCGAGGAAACTGTAGAAATAAAAATGGAAATGTGAATAAAATCCTAAAAACGTCGCGAAGCAGCGCTGTTCCACGCTAGCTTGATAGCTAAATTGTTCTGTTCATGTTAATGCTGTTTGTTGCTATAAAAATTTGAACAGAATTTTTCCTCATCATTGTTTGGAACATGCCTCCCAAAGACTGTTGTGGAATGTAAGGTTACTGAATGGAATTACGTTTCGGCGTAGCGCTTCCTGCCGGATCTCCATATTTGATTTGAGAGATTTCATAATAGTTTTTTGCGAAAATCTACTAAGCAAACGTTGATCTGATCTTATTCGCAATGAAATCCACATACGATAGGCTTCTAGGGATGTAGGGTACAGCAACGTGAAACGATTAGCAGTTGCAAAATATATTCTGAATCATTGTTTCCCCTCCATTCCTTGTTGAGTTTAACGGTATTAAATGATTCCAGCTCCAGTCGTCCAGGGAGCACCGGGCAACAAGTATCCTGCGTGGTACTGCGTCACATGCGCAGCGCACGCTACGTGAATTTCGGGAGAGAACCTGTGCAAGGTTCGAGGAAAGTTGGAGTGAATATTGAAAGTTCGAAAACATCATACATAGCTTGCATCACTTAGGTAAATTTCAAATGCGGTAATATTCTCTGAGCTAACGTGCCGATATTTTGAGAAAAGTGAGAAAGCTGCGGATCTGCGATTTGTTTTCTGGTTCGGCCGCGTCTCTCCTGTCGAAATATACGCTCATTCGGTAGCAGAAGATAACTTGCAGACATGAAAGCAATTCAATAAAAA